TTCTGTATCTTCTTCTACCCTACTGTACTTTAAACATTTAAATGAGTATTTTTCCTATTGTGCATTCTTTTTTGTAAAATGTTTTATTTTAATTTTCATGAGTATATAGTAGGTGTATATATTTATGGGTAATACATGAGATATTTTGATACAGGCATGGATTATATAATTATCACATTATGGAAAATGGGATATCCATCCCCTCAAGCATTTTCCTTTGTGTTGGAAACAATCCAATTATACTTTTAGTTATTTTCAAATGTATAATTAAATTATTATTGACTATAGTCACCCTTTTGTGCTGTCAAATCGTAGGTTTTACTGTTGTACATTCTTGAGTAGCTGTTTTATAAATGGTCTTGTCTATACATACTTTTGCAGAGATGTCTTTATTTCTCCTTTACACTTAATTGAGTATTTGGCTAGGTATAGGATTCCAAGTTTCAAAATATTTTCCTTTAAAACTGAAAAGAATCACTGCAATGTCTCCTAGCATCCTTATTGCTAGTGAGAAATGTCATGTTGATCTGATTCTTGTGCTTCAGGCTAACCATTCCTTTTCTTTTGGAAGTTTTTGGGATTTTCTCCTTGTCCTTGGAGCTCAAAATTTTATGAAAGTTTGTGGGTTCATTTTCATTCATCCCAATTGGTACTTGGTGGCCCTTCATTTTGAAGAGTTATGTCTTACTCTGGTGCAGGGCACTTTTCTTCTGTTTACTTGATTATTTTCTCCTATTCATTGTGTTCGCTTATCCTAAGTTTTCTCTTCACATTTTCCTCCTCTTTGTCATTTTGTTATGGATTTTATGAGATTCATCTAATCGGATTTTCCATCTTGTCCACTCTACTCTCTACTGTGTCCAGTATATATTTTTAATTTCTAGGAACCTTTTCTTGTTCCCTGTTTTCTTTGTTTTTGTTTCATGGATGCCATGTCTTTTTAAATATCTTTGAGGTGTTGGATTTGGTGGCTCATGCTTGTAGTCCCAGCTATTCAAGAGGTTGTGGTGAGATGACTGTTTGAACCCAGGAGTTTGAGACTGTAGTGAGCTACAATTGTGCCACTGCCTACCAGCCTGGGTGACAGAGTGGTATGCAGTGGCACAATATTAAAAAAAATCTCTAAAACAACCTACATATCTATGTATATATTATCTTCAAGGTACTAATGAGAATTAAAAAGAAACACCAATCCCCTTTTTCTACCTGTTTTCAGGATTCTTTCTTCTTGTTGGATTCCTCATTTTTTGTGCTCTTGGTTTTTCTCAGCTGTCTGGTGACTTACTATTACTGGTTTGTATTTACCAATAAAGGACTACATAGATTAGTGCCATTGCCAGGGTCTTTTTCTCTGCCAGGCTTCTCCTTTGAACAGAAGGGAGCAGCCTGCTGACAGAGGCTTTTCTGTGGGTTAGTCAGGCAGTCTGGCAAATCCCACAATAACCTCAGTCAGGCAGGCTTTCCTAGGGGCCAAGTCGGCTGTAGCTGCTGTAGCGGGGGCAGAGCTCTTCCCTCTCAGGCTTGAATACCCACCCTTGGTTTCCTTCCCTGATGTGTTGCCTACTCTCTTTGTGGGCAAACAAGGTGGTGTGGGAGATCCCAACTGGTTCACTTGTTTTTTAATTACTCTGAGGTGGTAATTTATTTATCATCAAATAGAGACACTTTTGAGAATGAAAGGGGAAACTATTAATTATTTTGCCTGGATAATAGGCATCACCTGGGCCTGTCACCCTGCCTGTAACATACTCTCAATCTTCTTATTTATTGACTCTGGATTTAGAGCTGCTCTGGGCTCCATTGGGAAGATTACTCTTCTAATTCTTTTGGCTAGAGTTATTCCTATCTTTTTTTTTCCCAGTCAAAATTATCTCATCTGCCTTCTATTTTATTCTCTAGGCTTTCTTCAAAATTTATGAACCTCTGCTATCCACTACTCTTGTTTTCCAGCATGGTTTGTTTTTATTCTTAAAAAAACGTTTCGTGTCATTTCAGTGGGAGCTGAGAAAGAAGGGAGAAAAAAGACATACTCAACTTGACACCTTAAACCAGAACCTCTTTTAGCTCTTTTAGTCCACTTTAAACATGCTCACTCACTGTATTTTATGCATCCTTATATGTTGCCTTACTCCCTTTTGGAACTGGAGAAATTCAGTGATAATTGTACAGGTGTGAGCTCACACTGGTATGTCATTGACTTAGTGACTAGTTTCCTTTCATTACTTTTACATATGGAAGGATCCCATGATGCCTATCAAAATACCAGGCATTGGATCATTGAACCTCTGAGCCATTCTCAATGGAAATAGTTATAGTTATGGGGAATTTTTTTTCAGATTCCTCTTTTTTCCAGGATATGACTTACTGCCAAAAATTCTTTCTGTTCCCTTATACGCTGTAGTAGCACACAGAAGAAAGTAAATTCCTGCAAAGATAATTTAGGTGTAGCATGGTCAGGTTAAAGACAGAAAACTGTCTTAGAACCAAATCCAGTATTTTGCAGAACTTAATGAATGGATGCTAAATTTTCTACCAGAATTAATCCAGGAAGACTTGGTTCAGAAAGATGATAATTATTAGAAGCACAGAAGCAAAGATTAAGACTTAATAAGAATGATTTAGAAGCCAAAAGTGGGCATCCTGGCTCTAATTAGATTTTGCAGGACAAGAGCAATTTGGATTCCTGAAAGGGGATCCAAACTGACCTACCATAGAAATTACTTGGCTGCTTTGGGAACAGGCTCGTCCCTATCCTTGTCAAGTGTGGTTACATGGAGATGCTGGACATGATGGTTTCTATGTGGCTTACAGAGTCAAAGTTCTGGTGTTTGGAGTGGGTAAAATTAGGTACAGAATTATAGACTTGCACTCTTGGATGTGCTTCATACTGAAAGTATAAGAACTAAGCTAAAGCCAATGAATATATCTGACTTTTGTTTTGCCGCTTTAATATGCAAATTACATGCAGCATGCCTATGGCCCAGGTTAACAGTTTGCCATGCAGAAAGAGCCCTCGCTCCTACGCTCCCAATAATATTTTTTGCTTTCCTGTCAGCAATTGTACTACTTCTGGGTTATGGTGGTGGTACATAAATAAATAATCTAGTTTTTTTTAAGCATTTAGATTTCCTCACCCTTCAAAGTACCACTTTGGGCTTGGATGTTTTATTTTATTTCATTTTATTTTATTTTTTGAGACAGAGTCTTGCTCTTGTCATCCAGGCTGGAGTGCAATGGTACAATCTCAGCTCACTGCAACCTCCACCTCCCAGGTTCAAGCAACTCTCCTGCCTCAGCCTCCTGAGTAGCTGGGATTATAGTGGGATTATAGGCATCCACCACCATGCCCGGCTAAATTTTGTATTTATTTTTATTTTAGTAGAGATGGGGTTTTGCCATGTTGACCAGGCTGGTCTCGAACTCCTGACCTCGTGATCTGCCTGCCTCGGCTTCCCAAAGTGCTGGGATTACTAGTGTTAGCCCATGTGCCTGTCTGAGCTTTGATATTTTAATTCTTTGTTGGGGTATGAGCAAGAAAGAGAGGATGGTGTTTCCTTCATGTGAGTGGCTGGTTGACAGGTTGCTTCCTGGTGGGTTCTGGATTTCAAAGTTATAGGTTAGGAGCAATTAGTTGTTTTTATCAGCAATTTGTTGAGCTGGACTAGAAAACAGGAACCATCACAGGCAACTGGCTTTATTAGAGAGACAAGAAGGAAACCATGCAGGTAGTTACTGGACAGACAGAACACTCTACAAATGGTAGAAACCCAGTCATAACCAAACGCAGGATGTCATTTGTCAGGAGCAGTCCTTAGAAGTGATCTTCAGTCTTGGGAGTTGAACCACTAGGGCTACAAAGACAGATTCTGCTTGGACTTTTGGAATAAATTTGTTACAATTAATGGTACCTGGCATGCAAGGAGTGGGTGCTAAAATATATTCCTTCCTTCCTTCTCTCCTGCTTTATCTCCCTCATTTTCCTCATCTCCCTTCCACTTCTAGCTCTTTACACTTTCCTTTTGCTCTTCCCTCCTCAATCCCCAACTTGTGTCTCCAAGTTACTTTCCACATCCAGTCTCTTTTATCTCTGTGTTTGTAAGTGCCTTCTCTAAACTCAGACTCTTACTGCAATCCCTACACCTTTTACCACCTATCATCTACCCAGTTGGAGAACTGTGGGATTAAGGGAATCTAATGGTGAGATGGTCAAGTCACTAGACCTGAGAGCCCAGCATTGACATCTGGTGGTTACCTTGCTGACTCTTTTCCCACAGTTTTCACCATTCCATCCTAAACCTTTGGTCAACTCTGGAAGTAACTCTTCAGTAAACATGGAGCAAGAGCTCACTACCCTTACTACAAAACATGTTCTGCTGCTGTTTCTGGGTCACTGTCTTTTCTTACCCTCTGCAAGTTTTTAGTCTACACTGTCATAATCTTTGGGTTTATTGTCCTTCTTATATTGTTATTTGTACTGGTGTTTGCATTTGCTTTCAGAAGAGATTTTATTCTTTGGTCACTTCCAGCTAAGGGCAGGTCTTAGTCTCCTGATTATGTGTCATTCCTCTTAATATGCTGGAGCTGCTTATAAATACCATCTTTGGTTCTATGACCATAAGGTCAACGAACTCACTGGCCACTTCTGTATGGTTTTATTTGGCTATGTTGTATTTTGTGACTTTGTAGCAAAAAACCCCACAAAACATTCTTTTCCAGGATGCATTCGACTTTGTCACCTCCTTTTCTTAGGAACTACTAGAAGTTAAGAGAAAGGGTCTTTGTAGAGCTAAAGGGACATAGAAATTGGAGACACATAATGTTTTGCTTTATTGTTGGCATTAGAAGGACAATGAGAAAGACTAGCTTTCCATTTTGGGACTTTCCAACACATGTTCCAACATGTACACTGGCAAAAGCCAATGCCCTTCAAATTTGAAAGGAAAGAATTCTTGCAACCTTGACAACAAAGCAACCTAAGTGATGTTGTTTTAATGAGTTATATGTTTCTGTGGGCCTACAATTTAATTTCACACCTGATTTCTCTCTCTTTAGAAGTGGAACGGAGAGTGAAAGCCAATGACCGTGAATATAATGAAAAGTTCCAGTATGCGGTGAGTAAAACACACATAATATGTACACACTAGGGTAGGTCTTACCTAAGGACAGTTGAATGCATGTCTTCTAGAACTTTATGATTTCATCAAAAACTTTCCTTGTTGGCCCATTTTAATAGCAAGGTGCCATATGTTTCCATAAATACAGTTCTTAGCAAGGTTTACAAACTTACTTCTCTCCTACAAAGAGTAGTTGGTATGCTTATTGTCATGAGAAGATGATAAAATCTCTTCTTTCTCAAGAATTGATGTTTAGATTATTTTGGTACCCATTTGGTTAGTAGTATACTTGCGAATAATATGAAAATAAATCTTTTTTGTAGTACTCGGTGATGGATGTAGTGATGTTAGCTAGTGGTTGATGAATGGCATTTGAGGGGTTTTCTCTGAGCAACTCAAGCTGAATGGGGAAGAATATACATAAGATAAGGTTCCCAGGTCCTGAATGATTGTATCTACAGAATGATTACATGTGTGGGCTTTAAGCTTGTACTGAACAATTTTTTTTAAGTGAGGATTTTCTTCATTGACATAAGGAATATTTATTGAATGTCTGCTAAGTGACTGGCACTGTCTTAGGCTACAGTGGTAAACAACTTCATGAATTATGTCATGGGCCTTTATAAAGATCTTATTCTTCTGTGGCTCAATCTAAGTTACTAACTAGAATCTTTTATAAGCTCTAAGACAGTTGGTGGAGTTGTTTCTGTAGGTGACACGTGGCCTGTAAGACCTGTTATGTGATTGAGTTTACCAGCACATTTAATGAAAGAAAGTCTCAATTCAAAGAAGGGTGTGATGGCTATTAAAGCATAGAAATATTAGAGTCTCAGGGGCAAAATTTGGCAGTGTCCATTAGGCATTAGCTATGGGAGAGTTTTGGTCTGTGGAGTTTTTTGTATTTTGTTCCTACTGGCAGATCTTTCCCATATGGAGATGAATGCTTCAGGCTATGACAGCTTGATATTTAGGAGAGGTAGCTAACAGTTTCTTTTTCCTCATGCTTAGCTACTCATGCAAACTTGTGATTATAATTTGATTTTCAAAGTAGGTTTCCATATAGGAATTCAGTATGCCATCTCTATGACAGATTGCTCATGGTAGAACAATATATTGACACTCTGATTTTATTTATCAGTCTTGTAAGGTTTGTTAAAGTCAGTCACTCTTGAGACAAGAAATCCCTCTCAGGAGGCTGATAAATATGCTTCTTAGCCTGGGAGAGGGAGGGGCTATAATTCCCTAAGGTGACAAATGTCACTCTGTATGGCCTCCTGACATAAGGTCATTCAGCCCTCCTGGTGAACACCAGACATGGCCCCATGCCTTTCCATTCATCCTATAGCCAGTCCTTTAGCTGTAGAGAATGACCTCTGAAAGCATTGACCATCAAGTCCAAAATCAGAAAACTAGATACATGTATGTTTAAGATCTTGAGAGAAAACCCCAGCAGTAACTAATCTGCTATGGGGTAATTATGCATTTAAGTACTTGGCTGCATTTACTTGTTTTCCAATGTCTAACAAGTATTTCCTTCTGTGAGTAATAACCCTATAAGGAAAGCCTTATTTTGTTTGTGCTTTGTAAAATGGTATGCTCTTTTCAATTTACAATTATTGTTTCTTAATTATGGAATATTGCAGACTCACAGAGAAGTATGGGGAATAACAACATACCATGTGCCTACCACCCATATTGAATAGATGTTAACAATTTACCATGATTGCTTCAGATCTTTCCTTCCTTTAAAAGTCATAATATGCTAATGATATAGAGGTGATTTTTCTGTTGAGCTTTCATGATATTGAAAAAAAGCACACATGTTTGGCTGTGGCTCTTTTCTGTCGGGTTTCCTAATAATGACAAGGCAGTAGAAGAGTATCCTGTGGCCACAGGAGGTTGAACAAGGCAGCTCCATCACTGAGTTAAAACATACCAAGATAAGAACAAAATCTATGGGTTGACAAAACCAAGAATGACAGCAAACATTGAGAAAGAAAAGCTACAGAGCAGAGTGGGGCACAGATATCCCAGATCAAAGGACTTCCATTGTGGCTCAGAGGGAATGAGCAGCTGCCATGCTCCTAGAAGGAGCACGGGACCTCCCACTACACCTGGCTGATGTTACCTTGATTCTGGAACACCCAAAAGGATTACTGACATTGCAGTGAGCTCTGGAGCCTCTCTCAGCCCCAGTCTATTCTGCTACATGTTGGGGATAATCAAAGCACCTATTTCATAGAGTTACTGTAAGGAGTAAAGTAGAATAAAATACAACAGCCCTATGAGCGAGTCTAAGTAGAACTGGCATTTGAACCTATGCCTATCTGATTTTAAGCTTTATTTTTTAAAGCCATAAATAGAATATCCTTTTAAGAAAGACAGTATCCTGGGGTCTTCTGCTCGGTCTTCCCCAGCCTTAAAGAGTATCACTCCAAATGGAAATGAATTTTGAGAGGCTTCAACATATCCCAGGGAGAATGCTCATCTCTCCACCAAAAAGCTAAAAAGGAGATGGGGATAAACCAAAACCTATTATGTAAAAGATGAAAGGAGAAATGAAATTCCCTCAAATGTAGTGGAAAAAGTATTTTAGGATAAGATATAACGTAGGTTGAATCCTTTCTCTCTCATTGTTACCTTGGGATCTCAATGTACTTATTTCTCTGAGCATCAGTTGTTTCATCTATGAAATGGAATTTTTCTCATAGGATTATTAACTAAAGGATTAAATTACACAATTTATATAACATATTTGATAATAAGACTAGCTGAATTTATTACATACTTATTGTGTACCAGATCCTGTGCTATGCCTTTTATATGGATTTTTCTCTTAAATCTGACAAGGCTGTGGGCAAGTACTCATAATAAATTTTAGATTCCCCATAAAGCAATGGATAAAGTATATCAGTAATAGTAATCATAAAATTATAAAATTGATAATTTATAACTTATCAATTATAAATTGATAAATGTAAAATTTCAGATATTGAACAGTTATATAAACTTGTAAATATTTTGTGGCTGATAATATGCCAACAAATGAGCAAATCTGTGATACTAAAGGTGTGAAAGTTGCTGATAAATTATGCAGATGATGTAATAGTAGAGAAAGCAATGCACCAAAGCAAGAGGACTAACAGTGTAAACGATTGTGGTCGTAGAGGCCACCTTCCCAGATAAGCCATGTTGAAATGACAGTCATTCAGTGAGAAGTTTATTGATTACCTACTCTGTGCAGAGCATTTGATGAGTTTTAGAATTTTTCTTAGAATCTCAGCATGGATATTGACAGATACGTACTTAATTGTGATAGTAATAATAAAGATAGTGATAATAATAGCTTAAAACAGGTCAGGCTCGCTGTATGAAAGGCATGGTTTTAAGCACTCTACTATATGAAACATATTTAATCTTGTAACTGGTCCATGAAATACTGTTATTTCTTACTTATTATCTTTTTTTTAGTATATTAAAACATTAAGCCATAGAGATCTCACTTAAGTTACTTGCTCAGGGTCACATACTTAATACCTTACATCCGTATAGTTTAAACTCAACTGTGGACCAGGTGCTTTGAACATATTTCAATCTTCCACAAAACCCACTGAGATGAAGATGGGACTCCAATTGGTAAGTTGTCTAAGTCATGCAACTAAGAGGCAGCAAAACTGGAATTCTAATGCAGATTGCCACGTTCTAAAACTTATGTTTTTCTCGTGATATCATGTAGCTCTTTTGACCAATCTTGGAAAACAGACCAAAAAAAAAAAAACATACAAAACAAAAAACCAATCAACCAACTAAACAACAACAACAACAAAACAAACCCCAATCCCTTCCTCTTCCCTCACATATTTACCCCACTGGTAAATATACTCTAAAGACAAAGGTAGATAAAGAAACACAATTTTACGATGTGGGGCTAAGAATGGCCTTAAATATTACCCTGGGCTTTTGTAGGTAAGAATTTGGGAGAAAAATTTACAGATAGCTCAGATAAATTGTGCGATTTACAGAAACATTAAACCTGGCCAAGCAGACTTTTTTCCCGGAAGGCTGGCAGAAGATACTTCAGTAGTTTGAGAACCTTCATTTATCAACAAACTCTAAAGCTGCAAATCACATTACAGGACATAGCACAGGCTTAAAAGTGATTAAAAGCACTTTTGAGAGATAAAAGGTTTAGAACTTAAAAGATAAGTTTAATGATTCTAAGTCAAATTAATTGGTAAATTAGACAGGGTACTGTGAGAACTGGAAGGTAAAAGCAAAATTGCAATAGGGATTTAGACTGCCAAAACATGTAAAACAAAATGAGATTGAAGAGTGGAGGAAGAGTAAGCCAAGTGCTAGAATTATTATTCTCATTAGAAGGGAGTTCAATGTTTTCTTGGTTAATAATAGGAATGAATAATAGAAGTAATGAAAACAGTTGTATTAAAACATGTTAATAATGGTAAAAAAAAAAATTGTGATTGAGCCAAACAGCCAGACTCATTTCTGTTAAAAGGATTTCAGAGTGAATGGTAGAAGTGGTGAAAACAGTTGTATTAAAACGTATTAATGTCAAAAGATGTTAGAAAGTGTTAGCTTAATTATAGCTATTTTCTGATTTTGTTTAAAAGTTTAAAAAAATGATGATGGAAAGCACTGGTTCCCACTGGTTCTTATTCTCTCACTCTCTTTCACATAGGTCCAGGCACGATCTATCCCCATTCACTTCTCTTGAACTTTAACAGAATTTGAAAAGGGAGATGAACTCATTGGAGTGATGAGAAACTTATCCTGTCTCAAACTCAGAAAATTCAGTAGAGCAAAACACTTAATAAATTTTATCTGAATATATATATTTGAGACGTAGTCTCACTCTGTTGCAGGCTGGAGTGCAGTGGCATGATCTTGGCTCACTGCAACTTCCACTTCCTGGGTTCCAGCTATTCTCCTGCCTCAGCATCCCGAGTAGCTGGGACTACAGATGTCTGCCAACACAT